CGCCCTCTATCAAGGAGAACTGAAATAGATATGCTAAAACATTCACTGCTTCCTCAGTGATCATGACATTCAGGAATGTGACCTTAACAGTTTTGCTATATTCATTTATAATCATTGTTTTAAACAGTAATGTATAACAATGTACTTAATCAGACCACACAAATGCTAAAAACGTATTTTTCAATCCATGTTTTGTTCCTCTTAGAGCAAACAGTTCATATCAGTCTAATGGCAGTAAAGTATGACTGTAATAATTTAATTCCGTGCAGTATATTTAGAGGGCAAACAGTTAGGTCCTAAATGTTCACACACTACCACGAAGCCAATAAGTAGTGTCAGGTTTGCTGCACTAACAGGATTAAGCACCAAGACTTTATGTCTTTTACAGCCGCTGCCAGGCACAGGCCTGGAAATAATGGGATCAGTTTTGAAGCAGTTCATCATGGGGGAAACCACCTCTTCCAACATTAGCTCAGTGTGAAGGACCCCGATGCATATAGGCACCCTGGAACACATCCCTAAATTGTTAACAAGTAATGACATCATGGACAAATACACATGGAAACATCCAATGTAGGAAGATGAATATTTAACAGGTGGTAAGCAAATTGCACTAACAAGACAAACTGCAGAGGGGGCAAGGGTTCGTAAAAAAGGGTGCCACTGAATAACCCATGCACTGTTAATGACAGCATTAACTAAACACAGTTCATAAAGTCTTTATTAGTTGGAAATGTTTATTAATCAGAGGGCATGTGCTTCAAACCAAATATGTCTGTCATCATCTGTAACTTAAAAGCAAGCTCAAGCTACACAGGGTGTAAAAGACCCAAAAGCAACATGAAGAGCATGGATCATTAAGGTTAGTGCCTTCATATTTTTAACAGCACATTAAAAGCCAGATGAACTGGTGATGATGCTATGCTGTTGAAAATAGTGATATCCTAGCTCTTAAAATATTAACCATCCAACTTTGTCTGTCTACTGTCTTCTGTTTACAGTGCGTAAACCAAAGCTGTTTTGCTAAAAACATCAGTAGGAATCAAGTTTGACAAGAGGTAGGAGTGAACCTAAAGATGTGCGCGATGTAAAACTAAAACAATAAGCTAAAGATAGACCTTGGAGTGAATTGTACTTTCCAAAATTACTAATAGAGATTATGTCACAATTTTTGGAAATGTTAACGTGGAAATGTTGGGTAGTGCACACCAGGGGCGGTTTGTTCTTTAGGGCGATCGGCATCACACCACCAAACTGGGAAAAGCAGGGGATTTTTTCACACTTTCTACCACACCGTTAGTTGGCTTTGACTGTTTTTGACAGACAGTTTGCCTCTGAATTTCATTGTCCAATCAGCGTCAAGTAGTGTTCCATGGAGTCCCACCCATTTTGGGCGTTTTCAGTCCGGTTGAAAATCACCCAGATCACTCTTACGTGTTTATGTCATGCGCCCAGCAGCAGAGCTACTACTTCTGCCACCTGAAAATGACTCTGCATCTGTGTTCTTTTCTGTAGCCAAGTACAGTCAAATACCCGGATGTGTTCCGCTCGCTCTGCCCGTTTTACTTGTGTGGACTTCGGATAGCCAAGTATCCCAGAATGCATTTCGCACCAAAAACCAGAAATGTCGGTGGAAAAAACTCACAACTGTAAGTTATAATACTTCTATTCTTGTGTCACGGAAGGCAGTTTTAAGAGTTTTTTATGTGGGAATATAGTTGTTTAAACTCCAAATGGGAGTTTGTACTCCCGAGCCGAAGTTGCCAAGTCTGAGCTTTAAAGTACAGAAGTCCGAACTTGGCGTACTCGTTATTGAGAAACAGCTGGCAGTCCACCATTTTGTTGCTCTCACTACTATCAGCTGCTGTTTCAACAAAAAGTACATTCAGGATAAAAATTCAACCATGGTGTTGTGTCGGGTGGTGTAGTAACTTAAACAGCGGTGAGTAAGATATAGCATAAATAATAGATGTAATTTGTTAAACTATGAGGACAGGAAAAGTCCGCTAGCCACTAGGCTAATTTATGCAGTGTCAAATGCCATGCCATCACTTGCATCTTTGTCAGAGGAGGATAAAAAGAAGAAGGAGAGCATCACAGAAAACAACCCAAAGACAATACAATAAATACCTTTTATATTTCCTCTTACATGCCTTCTTGTTTATGTGTAAATGCATGGGAGAACAGTAGATACTTTTAATACAGCCCACACCACTATTAATACTGTATAAGTACGGGATAACAAGTGGAGAACATTCAAAAAATTTTAGAACTCTGCTTACCTTATTAGTCTTGTGTAATGTGTGTAATCAATGAAAATAAATACTATGCTCCTCTGTATCCCATTAAACATTTAAGATTAGCTATGTTTGATTCATATAAAGTATATGCAACATTATTACACTACCATATTACTTGGGACAGGATAGCTTGTTTTTTTACTCTAGCCTATCCCTTAGCCGCAGTGCAGGATGAACTGTAAGTAGTTTTATTAAATGCACATTGTCCGCTATGGTGGCCCGTAGGTTTCAGGCCTAATACAAATCCCACGACACGAACACAAATCCCACAACACAAACACAAAAACCACAACAGAAATACAAACGCCACAACACGATTACAAACACCACAACGGAAATACAAACGCCACAACATAAATACAAAAAGCCACAACACAAAAGGCCACAATGGAAGTGAACCACAGCGGAAGTTGACAACGAAAGAGACACTTAGTAACAGTAGATTACTCTCTGCAGAACACAGCTACACAGTAGTACAGCAGCAGTGTAGCCGTCCCACATTCAGGGTTCGAATTGTAGAAAGAACATTCTTTTTCAGGTGACTTTTTCCGCATAATAGTGTCTGCCAAATTAGTAAATGTAGGCCTACATGGAAGAAGAACTTCTTACCAGTAAATACAACAGACCAACACAACGGCTCACGCCGCGACTCCCCCTTAGAGACGTCGCAAAAGCAGTTACATTTATTTGGATCACCTCTCAACTTATGAAAAAGAAAGATATGAACACAAACACAAAGTGTTGGGCACTTCCAATCCATGTTACAGCACCCGCTGCCATTTTTCTGTGGTTAAAAAGTGCCAGGTCCCTGCCGCCGCTCGACTGCGGTAATGTTTACGTTTATCTTGTAGGGAATCCCTCACCTAACACAGCTCAGGCTTGTCTCTTCCTCGATTTGTGCATCAGAAAGTACAACTACCATCCAGCATTTTGGCAATGCAAAAGTAAAAAAACTCATAGTAACAGTGTATCACTTGCTTCCTGGCAGTGGAAAATAATGTCTTTTTTGCCCTCCAAGGGAGCGTTTTTCATGGAATGTGACGTCACGTGAAAACTATGAATAGGGGTTGCTGCAGCACCCTCTGCACCCCTTTGAATAAGTATAAAGTCATCTCCGTGGTAACCTGAGACTCCTTGCTTTTTGCTTAGCACATTTTGAGTCTATTTTTTATGCTAATCTGCACAGACAGCTGTTTAATTCACACAAATATCCCGCTGTATATTATTTGACCAGAACAAAGTATTACTTATTTTTCAAACGGGTAAGAAGTTCTTCCACGTAGGCCTACATTTACAAATTTTTTCTGCACCTCAGGAGACCCATCTGTCAAACTCCTGAAGTTCGCTGACGACACAACGGTCATCGGCCTCATCAGCTGGCTCTCTGGTGCGGTCAGAACAACCTGGAGCTTAACACGCTCAAAACTGTGGAGATGACTGTGGACTTCAGGAGGAGCCCCCCTACCACCATACTTAACAGCCCTGTGTCTGCTGTGGAATCCTTCAGGTTTCTGGGTTCCGCTATATCCCAGGACCTGAAGTGGGAGCCCAACACTGACACCATCATCAAGGAGGCCCAGCAGAGGCTGTACTTCCTGCGTCAGCTCTGGAAGCTCAACCTGCCTAAGGAGCTGCTGATCCAGTTCTACACAGCCATCATCCAGTCTGTTCTCTGCACCTCCATCACTGTCTGGTTTGGATCTGCCACCAAAAAGGACAGCGACAGACTACAACGGACAGTCAGGACTGCAGAAAAAAAAAAAAAAAAAAATCAATCATCGGTGCCAACATGGCCTCCATTCAGGAGTTATACATTTCCAGAGTCAGGAAACATCACTGCAGATCCAACTCACCCCGGACACAACCTGTTCCAGCTCCTCCGCTCTGGTAGGCGCTACAGAGCACTGTACGCCAAAACCAACAGACACAGAAACAGTTTCTTCCCACAAGCCATCACTGATGAACAGCTGATTTCTGACTTACAGTGTCAAGAACAATTCCTGTGCAATAACCCAGTAACTGTCTCTAATCAGTCACCTGTTTATTGGTTTCCACTTATTTATTCACCATTCTCTATTTCAGTGCTGTTCATACTGTCATATTGTATATTTTGTATACCAATACACCTACTTAAGGTCATAGGTCTTACTTATTTTTGCACTATGCTCCATCACACTGTGTACATGTATGTGTATCTGTATATCATATCCACCTTCAACATATACATAATGAGAATAATAGTTTACTCTTGCATCCTTTGCACTCTGATCACTGCACTATTTGTCAATATGTCTATATTGTTTTGTTCATAGTGTGTATGTTAGTGTTGTCTATACTGTAGTTTGTGTCTGATTTTATTATTGTGTTATGGTATTTTTGTACGAGTAAGCACATCGTGAGCAATGTACAATCCTGAGTCGAATTCCTCATGTGTACACATACATGGCAATAAAGCTGATTCTGATTCTCATTCTGAAAGCAGTCAACCTAGGAGGAACACTGTTAGTACTACTGGTAACTTATGTAGAAAATCAGGAGTGAATTCTTGCGTGATCTATTTCTGTGTTGTGATATATACTGTTACCGCGATATAAAATTACATACAGTGACAGAAGACTGTTACGTCCCCGGCTTGTCTAGGGGTGTGGGACGAACAAAAGATAAATAAACCAAGTGGAAAAACCAAGGAAGGACTCAAAATATGTGTCAAGTTAATGTATTTATTCTTAAACAAAATATAACAAAAGGCGTCTCTGCCCACACGAGAGATGATGCAAGTTATATAAAGTAACTAAATAACATAGGTTGCAACATAATAGGCCACACGGTCTCCATGGCTCCACCGCACTGGGGAAGCACACATGGAGAATGCCCGCCACTCACCACACCGGCTTCCACTGATCGGGAATGCCAAGCTGACGGCTGCCTCCACGGAGTCACCGACCTCACAGCGCGACAAGTTGCCAACGGCACCCCACCGGTCACGTCCTACAAGTCACACAGTAAACCACACAATAATCACACAGTAAGCCACACAGACGGTTGCGAGTCCAAGGAAAGGTAGGTGAGTGAATGAGAGATGAGGGAGAAGTGAGACTGAGAGAACTCCACTGGTTCTGCTTATGTGGCCCACTAATTGCCGCTGATCAGCCACAGCTGCGAATTCAGCCCAGCGTCACACTCAGGGTACAGGTACACACCTGCAGGAGAGAGGCAGACACACCCATAGCAACACAAATACGGCACACAGACCTCACGGGTTGTAACACCCCCACCCATAAGAACAAACCTATTATATGGTTTGTATACCACTGTAAGTTTTTAACAAAAATATACATGGCCCTATCTTAGGCCCCCGTAATCAGCAACAATCTCACCCATTGGACAGGGCGTCAGCCAGGATGCTGTCCATTCCCCACTCATGTTGGATATAAAGGTTGTAACCGTGGGCCAGGAGGACCCAGTAAGGCGAACGCTTTGTCATCACCTGTTTCAAACGGCCTCACCTTCTTTGCGGCCACACAGACGCATGAGGGGGAAAATACTTCCTTCGCCGACATGACAGCGTGCTGTAATCGCTCCATGAACAGAGACACTAAAAACAACAAGTTAGTTTTGGGAGACACATTTAACCACTTCGGTGGACCACGCACACTATGGGCCAACACAACTTCAGCTGGGCTAAAACCCAGGGACCCCTTTAGAGTGTCGAGTTTCAGTTTGCCCTTCCCCTCAGCAACTGAAATAACACATTTGACTGTGGGAGGGTGGCATCTTTGAGCCTTAGTCAAGGCATCGTGAGTGGGAGGCAAAGGTGTAACAGGCCCAGGCTCACTCACGGAGTCCATTACCTTCTCAGCCTCGTCTGCCTTGCAGCTCACTGGATCGTCACCATGGGACACGCTTTCTTTCGAGGAAAAAGAAACAGAAGTTGAGTCAGGCAGGCTCATTCCCTGTGTATGTTTACGAGACTGCGCTCTCGTAGTTGCGCTTACGGCCGCATGAGGATGGCTGTACACTAAGTCATCCTGCTTAGACTCAGGGATCGGGTTGCTGACCACCTTAGGAACAGGAAACACCTTCCCCCCAGCAATATAATTCTCCATGATTACATCAATGCCCCCAGTTGGGAACCCTGCACGGACACCCACCGTAAAGAAACCAGTTACTAGATCGGAATCGACATAAATCTGGTGCAGTGGCGCTGGTACGAAATCCATTTCGATATCTCTCACCACTGCACTTACATCAGAACGGTCACCCGCGGGGTGAATGCCAGACAGGATTAGTGACTGCAAACAGGTTGTATCCCGCAGTATTCTCACCCGTCGCTGGTCTGCCGCTTTCCCTGTCAGAGAGACACAACCGTCAAGGATAAAAGGTTTTAAACAGTCATTTGCTGCCTCATGTGTTTGGGAGTCTTGACTTCCCCGAAGTCTGGCTGATCCCGCCTCCCTGGATCGTCGGATCCTCACCACTGATTACTTACACCTGTTAGAAATGACTTGTTTTAGATACTAGGTTTAGAGGTGCTGCGCTCCCTGTGTTTTGGTTTTTGAACGACGGATAGAGAGGTTTTGTTTATTCTTTTGTAAGTAGTTTAGTAATCCCTCATTTAGTTTTGTTTTACGCAGCACCCGCTTGCCCATTTTCTGTTTGACCTTTTTGTTATACCGGACTGTTCAATAAATAACCTTTCCACCCATACCAAAACCATCTGGTTTATGTTTACGTCTCTCCTACCCCTAGAGAGCGGAGACGTAAAATAATTGGGGGCTCTTCCGGGATCGTGAGAAGTGAGACCAAGAGAACTCCACTGGTTCTGCTTATGTGGCCCACTAATTGCCGCTGATCAGCCACAGCTGCGAATTCAGCCCAGCGTCACACTCAGGGTACAGGTACACACCTGCAGGAGAGAGGCAGACACACCCATAGCAACACAAATACGGCACACAGACCTCACGGGTCGTAACAAAGACTTTTGGCCTTATCGCCCACCCCTAGATGACTATATTATTTTCACAGTGCTGTTTGCATTTGGAGCTCTATCTGAGCTCCCTGCTGTCAGCAGCCATTTATTCAAATGGACCCAACTGTCATAACAAATTACTGGAGTAGTTCACTGAGAAGTTATTGTCAAATATGACATGAGAACCAAGATGCTATGTTATTTTGCAGGAAACAAATCTGAAGCATGTTCTCTCTACAAAAAAATGTACAGATAAATGTTATTTGTTTCATGCAACAGTATTTCGGTGACTCAGGGGAGGTAAAGACAAGATTTTACTGGCTTTGGTAGGTAATTTCAGACCTGGGCCAAATTGCAAAGGTGAGCTACATTATTCCCACAAGTCACATGGTTAAATCAATGAAACAGCACCCCTTAGGCCAGTCAGTACAATTTTTGAAGTCCTACAATATCCCCTGGCAGGTGGTACCATCATCAGCTGGCAGTCTTGTAATCACTTTTTTTAGTACACTAGGCTTGTACGCATTGTACTTGAATTGTCTTATTGATTTTGTCCTTGAAATAATCTCAATATTTCTCTCAATGCTAGAAAAATATGCAGACTAATAAATAGTGTAAAATGAGAATACAGCTCCTATTTTGAAGTACCAACAGGGATGAAACAATGCTTTCAAAATTACATTAAAAAGCATGATTGAAGGATTTCACACAGTAAAACAAAAACAAAGACACAATCCAATCCCCATATAATCTCAACCATTTTGACCCTCTTTATCACAGTATCTGTCAGTATTATTTTGCACTCGTTGGGTAAACATGGGGAAGTCATTCCTGAGGGCTTACTTATTAGCCCAGGGGAATGGTAATGAAATACAGTACCTGCTTGAGAGAGTGCCTGCTTTATTACTCTATTATACATGAAAGGATCTGAGGGCTCTTAGAACCCCTCCTTCAAAGCAGGAATCATTTCCTCACATCTCCCTCATGCCTGTTTCCATTCAGTCCCCATTAATTGCTGTTTATTTTGCTCCATTTTTGCAAATGAAATGGAAGGCATTCCAAACTGGAAATGAATGAAGTTTAATTCTCTGTATGCTTCATGAGAAAATATGGCTTTAGAAAAAATACAGTCCCGATCATGCTCCAACATAAATTATACTCTAAATAGTTGAATGAGGGTGATAACTATATTTCAAATTATTAAGGAAAGACTGTTTTCTGAATTATGTTTACAGTCTTAGTGTTGAGTCAGAAAGTAAGTGAATTTATCATTTAAACTTCATTTCTTTTCTTATAATATTCAATGTATTACAGCATCACCAATGAGCAAACTATCTATCTGTCAATCTGTCCTTAATTCAATGACAAAGTTTGAGTTAGTCAGTCAGTTGGTCTACTTTGGTCCAGATTGAAATATCTAAACAACTACTAACTACTGGGTTGCCATAAAAAGCATTGTCATTGTGACTATGACAATGCTAACATGCTGCTAGCATGGGTATAGAACCTTACTCCTGAAATGACTCCTGAATGTAATTGCGGGGTAGCTATACGGAACATTTTTAAACCAAGACGCAATGGAAAACACTTAATGATAAAAAAGCCTGTCCTCCCCATAAAAAAACCCCAACCAAATAGGCATGTTAATACAACCCATATTTACATTTATTGTGGCAGCGACCTCTAGTGGCCATATGACAGACAAATGGATCAAAGCAGGACTTTCACACAAAGAACAAGGTTTGAGTCCCACGTGAAACCAAGTATATGGTGAGTTATTTTTAGTTAAATAGCATTACTGACTTCCGTCACATGATTAACATGAGTTTGGTCACATGTCACGTGTTTAGTCATGATATACGTCACATGACTTACATGATGTTCTTACTTGAACCCGAGCCACTATGTTCTCCTAAACCTAAGGAAGTAGTTTTGTTGCCTAATCCTAACCAAACTGTGACAATGTAAATATTAGCCTTACACAATGTCTACACAGCCTGTGTAGCGAAAGCAGCAGCAGCTTCAGTCCTCCACCTGTACACATAGGATCTGTTCACGCACTGTATTGAGTGGAGGTAAGCTGCATTTTGGCTGCTGCATAAGAAAATATCTCACACAGATGTGAACAATGTGACTAAGACACAGTAAAGAAGTACTGAAAAGCACAGAAAGAGAGCTATACACAAAGACCACATGAGGTTATAGGACACAATTCAAAGTCGTTCACAGTAATATGTGTATATAGAAATGACTTTCCTTTATTCAAATTGTAGATGTTATCAGACTAATCTGAAGTTAGAAGGGCATGAATGAAGTGATTAATAGCTAATTTGTTTCCATGGTGTTTGCTAATCAATATAAAATATAATACAATGGAAGCATAAAATGGATATTACAGGTGAAGTATTTGCAAATACTGTATATATGATGGATGGAAGTATGGTCATAGATAAGAAAGTACTGTACTGTGTAATGGGGCTGCAACTAACGACTATTTTGATAGTTGATTAATCTATCAGTTACTGAAATGAATAATCGACTATTAGGATTACGAATAGCAAAATTACACAATGCTTCTTATTTAGCTATCAGCTTTTAAATTAAACTTGAGGTTGTTTAAGGTATGTGCTAATTAACAGTCAAGATAATAAAGTGAATACTGCTTTCAAAAATACATGTTTTAATAATTGTTTCTGCTGCGGCAAAAAAAAAATTCCACAGAAATCAAGTCCTGTCATGGACCAAGCAGGTCTATACAGTAAGAAATAACTGTGCGCAGAGCTGTGCGAGCACTCATCTGATCTGCTGTCTAGTGACGAAGCAGCTTACACGCCGGCACTGCAACACACTAGGACACACTGACACTATTTATACAAAGAAAGGAACAACGTCATACATTACATTTGCCGAATTTACAAGAGGGGGCCAATAAAAATGATGTTGTAGTTCACAAAGTTTTCATAGTTGCCCCTAACTCAACACCTCACAAAACTTTGATTTTTAAGGGAGTCTGGGGCGGCCGCCGCCTTACGCATGAACAGGAGAACTGTTTATTTATTCATTCATTTATTTTGTCTAATCTTGTGCACTCGGCAGCAACACTTTGTCCAGCTGTAAACATTGAATGATGCATTGTTTATGAGTGTAAAGTTAGGGTACATCTGGGATGTAAACAGGACCGATTTGTATCATAATTATTTGCTACTCTCAGCAGGAAAATGTATAGATAAACGTTTCAGCTCATAAGGTGAGATAACATGGCTTTAACGTGAAGCTGGCTTGCTTACCGAGATGAGTCTTCATCAGCCAGTACCTCCTCTTCAGATTCTCCAGCACCTGACGCACTCCCAGGCCAGCAAATGTGAGCTTTGTAAATTCTGCAGTTCACAACCGTTTTGGACAGTGAAGAGTCGAATGCACCCGCACTTCGGAGGTTGTTGGTTGTGAAGGTGTTGATACTATCGCTGATCTTGTGTTGTTTTCCTATTCACATCAATTCACTGCAGGAATTGCCGATGATGTCATGAACAAATCGATAATTAAATTCATTGCCAACTAATTTAATTTTCGATTTTTGCTGACTATGTTAATTAGTTGTTGCACCCGTACTGTGCAAGGAAGTATATGAACATATATTTTGTAAGGAAACCTACAATACATATTTTTATACAGTTAGTACATGATGTATTGCTGCAGAATGATTGCTGTCTGACAAGATGGGTTTTCATACTATGATGGTACATCTGTAGTGACTCTGCAGTTCTTTGCTGTGGGGATAAGATGTCATTAGAGCGCTAGGACATGGAGGAATTGCAGCCAGGTGGTCAAAGGTTAGTACAAGGATAGAGCAGTAACACACACAACACACTCAGAAGACGCTTAGTGCAGCCCTGAGAAGGGCTGAAGGCAGCTTGGAGATGAGGGTGTATTGCTCCCTAGAGACAGGAGGCAAAACAGGAAGAATGTGAAATGCATCAATTTGAAAAGGCCGCAGACAAGGGCATGAGTTGCATGGGGCAAAGAGAGGTGGCGATAGAACCTGCAGAAACCGGAGCCAAGCATGAGTCACTGTAATCCAGCAGTTTCATGTTAGTCTGGATGTTTCATTTCAGTTGTGTGGTGCTGTGGATAGTGTGAGGGGGGTTGAAGTACTGGCATATGGCCTTGGGGTGGCGGGTTGAGGTGAGGTGAGGTGAGGTGAGGTGAGCAAGGTCATGTAGGGAGAAAGAGGGTAATGATGATGGTAAAAATGACGTAAGTAATATTCTGAGCCTTGTTTTAAAAATAGAAACTGTGGTTGATTGCTTAGGTTTGTAGTGTACCAACAGTGTGGATTTGTGCATTTTATATCAAATAAATTTGGACTACTCCAAATTATTTCTCTGTCCCAGGGAGAAAGAAAAGGAGGGGGTGAGTTATCAACTCAACAGACGACTGAAAAGACCCCAAAGGAAAAGGTGAAAGGTTTGCTTTCCCTAAGTGCTGTTTCTGGGCAGTCTGATCGTAAAACTGGCCAACTCTGATGCCGCAGCGAGATAACGCTCGGTGCCTGACTGTTAAAATGACAAAGAAACACTGACCAGAGATTAGCGTTCTCTTGAAC